CTTTCTAAACCACTAAAACATGTAAAATATAGGATAAAAAACAAAAAATAAAAGAGAAGAAATTAGGAAGAGATAGAATACATGTTAAAATTCTCAATCATTCACGACCACGGCTTATAAATGACATATGTTTTTTTCTAATCTCGTGTTAAAAACGAAAAAAAAAATAGAGAAAAAGGGAAGAGATAGAATACATGTTAATGATTAATCAATGTTGCAAAGATAATATAATGGAGGTGCGTAGATACCACTTTCTAAACTTTGACATTACAATATCAACAATTTAGTAATTGACTACAATTTCTATAATAAAATATTATGTATTTTGTAAAAGTTAAAAGAACACTAAGCATAAACATGAATTACTTACTTTGAGGAAAAATTTATATGCAGTCATGAAAAGATGGGGTGTATTGGAAGAGGTTACTACTCTCTTAATTAAAGGTGTTTTGTTCAAATCTTAAGTATAGAAAAATTCATAGTAGGGAGGAGTGCTCCCTCCAAATGAGTCTTACACGTCGTGAATATATAATCATGCTCTAATACGGATACCAAACACCAAACGAAAAAAATCAAAAAATAGATAAATTATAAGAACCTCTTCCAATACAATTGACACATTACTTTCAACTCACCTTCACGATATTCCATAAAAATTGACACATTTTCCATGGAAAAATCTTGCCAAAACATTTTGAACTTCCTGCCAGAGTAGACAATATAAAGTTAGACATATTCACTATTAGAGTAATATTATTGAATCAAATCCAAAGAAGAATAAAGAGGAAGAAAAAAACAATGGAAAGTATTTCAATGTACTAAAGTATTTTTTTCATTGATTAACGTACTAAAGTACACATGATATAAAATAAGGCAAAATATCACGTCTGATATTTATACTAAATCAATAGATATAAGATATAGTGATATATTTTTATAGCCTAGTGCAAACATTAGATATACAAATAAATATGTATTTTCGTATAGCTAATTCAACATAGTTTGCTTAGGGTGTGTGTTTGATATGGAAGAAAAAATAAATCATTTTTCCACAATCAAATACCAAAATTTATTTTCATTAAAAACAAAAATTGACTGATAATAATTTATTCATTAGAAAAAAGGGACACTAGTCAAACAAGAATATAAATTTTAAAAGTAGAATACATAAATAATAATAATAAATAAATAAAACTTGGCATGGATTGCATATTCAAACCTATTCGTAATTTAAATACTTCCGAACTATGCTGGAGTATTTGATAACATTTAGCTGAATTGAACAATTGATTTTTGTAATATTTCCTTAATTTGAGGAAATGGTTATGGACTGCAAATTACAATTAAAATTTAAAATGATATATTTATCTTTCTCAAACGTTAATTGATTAGAATCTATTAATTATTGTAGCCTTAATTAGAGGAAACGGTTAACCATTGCAAATTACAATTAAAATTTGAAACGGTATCTTTCTCTTCTTAAACGTTAATTAATTAATCCATAAATTATTATTGCCTTACTTAAAGGAAACGGTTAAGGACTGACATTTTGCATTTAATTAATTAAAATCCATTTCAATGGAAAAATAGGGGGAAAAAACTCCAAAAAAACTGAGAAAATAGATAAATAGGTTTGCTGATCATTGAAGCATGCCACATCAGCGAGCTGAAGATCCTACTTTATATAAATACTAGGTAACTTGGCCGCGCTATGCGCGGTGATAAATGTTATCTCCTGTATTCAGATTAGCAAACCAGAAATAATAAAAGATGAAAAGAAAAACACAAAGAACTATCCGAGTCCACAAAATTCATTGTGTGTCCTTAAGAAATTTAATCCCCTCAAGTACCCGAGGTTGCAGATTAATTTCTCCTAAGATAAAACGGATTAACCATTAAAGAAGTAGTGGTACCTCAAACTTCGATAATTTCAACGAACTCAAAATGACAGCAACGAATCACACACACAGACACGATCGATCGATTTTATTTTGTAAGAAATGTATGCAAAAGAAGGGAAGAATTCGATACCGAAAAATGAGAGAAAACCTCTCTATTTATAGCCAACAAAGGGTAAAGGTCACAACCCTTTGGAAAGAAGACAACCTTTCAGAAAGGTCACAACACTTGGGAAAATGTATAACCTTTCAAACGGTCACAACCCTTTAGAAAGGACACAACCTTTCATAAAGTTCACAACCCTTCGGCATAGTCACAATCCTTCATTTTCTGTTCACACCTTTAAAACCCAACAATAAATATTATATCAAAGGTATAAATTAATCGTTTCATATTTTTTGAATATAAAAGAATTTTTAGTTCAAATTCAATTAAATAGATCAAAATTCATATTTGAATTCATCTTATTATTCACACTGAACCAATTTCTAACAAATAAAATATACTATTACATGAAGGAAAGAAAAGTACTTTAAAAATAATGAAAAACAAAGTTGATCATTTTGTGTAATTTACACACAATACATATGTGGAACATCGTAGATTGAAGATAGAGAACTATTTTTAAAATTTTATACTTTAAATTTGTTTTTCTTCATTTATACTTAAAAAGATACTTAATAACATAACGTTTATAATGTGAAACTAGTAATACTAAAAAAGAACGAAATTCAACCGATAATAATATAAATAGCTCAAATAGATCGTGAGAAGTGTAAAAATTATTTGATAAAATAGGGAAATTATAATGTCTAAAACGTAAAAATGAGCATATGTAAATTATGCTAAATTTAAATTGAAGTAAAAATATGTTGTACTGTAGTTTTGTAGTGTAGATTTAGTACTTAATACTCTTCTTCAATGTCCGCTATTTAACTTGAAATAAGAAACGTTTAGGAGCCTCTTTGGCTCCTTAACTTATGTCTTAACAATTATGTGAGAAAGACTTTAAGAAGAATTAAAAAAAACACTATTTCAAATATGAAATAAAAAGGATAATCTTGAACAAGAGTTTCATGAAATAAAAAAATTATGGATTTATATAGACAAAAATGAAGGAATCTTTAAAGAAAATATAAATAGTTCTTTGTGCAATAGTATTTTTAAACTTTTGTTAGTAATCTGTATTATTACACACAAAGTAACAATAACTAATTGCATCTAAAAAAAAATACAGACTTGCAATAATAAAATATTATAAAAATTCAAACTAAGGAACTTACATAGAGAAAACACAAGCAAACACATCTTCATTGGGACCTTATCATAAGAAAATAGATCAAAATAAGAATACATAATCAGTGCCCACTTTTTTGAGCTCTTGTTCGACACTCTCTTTGACAAACTAATCAACATTCAAGAGTCATCTTCACCATGTAAAGTTAAAACATGAATTTTATAATATTATAATAATACTACAAAGAACAATGAAATATAAAAAATAATTTTGAGTTGGGATTTCATGAAACAAAAAACTTGTCAATTTCTATTGATAAAAATGGAGAGATATCATAAAGTATCTTAAATTTTATAATTTAATAGTTGGAGGTTATAAATATGAAAACTTAAAAGTCATGAAACTAATGATATTATTAAGAATAGAAGTTTAATAGATTTAAGTTATGGAGGTGAAACTTAAAAATTAATAAAGAAGAAAAAACAAAATAAAGAAGATTAAGAAATAAATCAATATTATATAAAGATATAAATTTCTTGAATTGAATAAATAATAAAAAGAAGTAAAATAAAGAAAAAAAGAAGGAAAAGACTATAAAATAAATAGATAAAACCCATAAAATTTAACTTTCGTGAATAATTTGTTCGAATTCTTTTTAAATCAAATGAAAAGGTTTGTAATAATTGATGAGAAATTAATAAATATTATAGGAAAAGAGAATAATAACATTCATGACAAAATAAATTAAATATGATTACCTTTAATGTTATTTAGATTTGTAGGTGAAATTTTTTGTATTTTAAAATAAAAAAAAGGCCAAAAAACCCACAAAAAAAGATAAATAGGATTGAAGCCCTTAGAGAGCGTCACCTCACCGTTTTCATATTCAGGTTTATTATTATATATGAATATAGATGTTTTATTTTGGTCTTTAATATATTTTACTTGATTGAAATAATCTTTAATGTATAATAAATGTGTTTATTTTGATCTTTGATATATTTTATTTGATTGAAATTTCTATAATGAATAACAAAACTTATAAAAGATGTTCAATTTGATTATTTGCCATAAATCTAACAAATTTATATATAAAAAAGTATTAAATTTAAATGTGCACCTCACATCGCTTATAAAATTCGTCATTGTTATCTTCTTTGTTATAGAAGACAAAGAAAGAACTTCATGAAATTAATAACATTATCTTTACTTTCTCTAACAAAATTTACTATTTTCTCTTGCTTAAAACGAAAGTTAGTGGAACACTATTTTATGAATTAGGTAATTATACTTTTATGAAATTTTCTCATAAAATATTAAGGACAACACCTTATTAATTCGATTAATGACATTCATGATGATTCATCTATCATTTAATCTGTTTTCAACAACAAGATCCATATTGAATAACTAAATTTTGATATTCTTATTATGTTACATATTACATGGTCCATTTTTGGTTTATAAGTTCAAATGCTTTTGTTTGTAGCACTTTAATGTATTAAACATTTTTTTATTTTCAATTCGTTTTCCAAAACTTGCATTATTTTCTTTTTATGCAACAAACTTTTGAACATTTTAAAGAAAATCACATGAATAATCAAAATATCACAATTCAAACCTCAATAAACATTGATACTTAAATAACTTGAAAGTTGTGATAAAACTGAAAGAACTAGTCTTATTTGATCCAAATAAAAAGAAAGAACTAGTCTGAAAATATGTATCTCTCTCTGCCTTACATAAACAGGCAGAATAAAGAACCATAATCATCTAAATTAATATAAGAAAATGAAAATATTTTTTTCTTATCAATTCTAAATCTCTAAATTCCATAAAAATCAAAATGGCTCTTCTTTATTTATCATTGGTAGAATTTATAAGTCTTGACAGATTTAATGATGCTCCACATTCCACCAATAGGAGATAGAAGAGTCAAAAGTACACCCACTATGATACACACCTGCAATATTAAAAAAAAACAAAGTAATTAGATAGATAAAAAAAAGAACTCCCTCCGTTCCATTTTATACAGTTAGTTTGACTCTTGACACAAGAGTTTAAGAAGAAAAAAAGCAAGATTTTTAAAACTTATGGTCTAAACTCTAAAATAAGTGATAAACACTGATGTGACCATAAATCATTTCATTAAGGGGTATTATAGGCATTTTAAAGTCAAATTGTTAGTCCATTTTTCTGAGACCGACTAAAAAAATAATGAAATCATATAAATCGAAACAAAGGGAATAGAAAAAAAAAACTAGCATATTGTTTAAACTTACCCAATTAATAGTCCATGACAAGCCAAACCTCTTGGGCTTTTTGAGTATAAGCCAAATGATACATGGAAGCTGTAAAAAGAAAGTAAAAGACATATACATAGGTTAATTAATAAGTATTAATCTTAAAAGATTTTTTGTCATGTGAGTTAATAAATATATTCTGATTAATAAAATATATAGAGTACTTACATAGTATGAAGTTGGTGCCAAAGCAAAGCCTCCAAAGAATCCCATTAAACCACCAAAGAATGGAATTGTGATACCCACAAACAATGTAAATGCTACAAAAATAACAAAATCATATCATAAAAAAAAAGAAAAAAAAATTGATATAAATATTTAGTAAAAGCTAGCTTACCAACAAAAAGCATACGCACGACAAAACGTAGGCGAAATGAAGGTTTGAATTTCATTGACCTCACCGCGAATGTCTCAAACATGTCAAACACTGGCATTGCATAAACCTAAAGTGATTTTCAACCATTAATACAACGACTTCAATAATGCAAAAGTAGAGTAATTTTGAGAGTATGTTACCTGGTAACTTCCAATGACATGAAAGACTACGAAGATATTAGCAGCAGCAACAAGCCAAACAGGTTTATATAGTGTTAGCAAAATATTATCATCAACTCCATTACCAAACACCCAATATCCAACGAAAGCAACAGGCAAATAGCATATCGCGACGATAATATAAGCTATCAATACACCTTTCCACATAGCTTTCTTTGATGGATTCTCTGGTGTTGAAGGAATAGTAGCTTGAATTTCAAGAACAACATTATGTCCAGCATATGAAAATGCTACATTACCTAATGCACTCAAAAACATAAACACATTATCTGAACTTTTACTACTTCTTGGACCATAACTCACTACTTGTGTCCCAATCGCGTGCTCTTTTATTGATGCAGTCCATGCTATAAAGGAATATGCTATGGATAAAACAGCCGCGACAAATGAAACAGAGGAGAGGGAGTTGAAATTTGGTAACAGAGATAGGCCAAACTCGATGGATGAAAAGAAGGTGATGAAATAAGTGAGTTTGAGTGGTTTCATGTTTGGGAATATAATTTCTTGAAATTTTTGCAATGATTTACCACCAGTTACCATGTAGATGATACAAGTGCTGACCTCTACGATCATTTGTTGTGGAACAACAATCCAGAGGCCAAGTTTTTCACCAAACGCGCATTGACCTAGTTCATGATATCTGTCAAATCTCTTACCCGGAATCATTTCATGCATCTCAACCATTTGCCAGATTGTGTAAAATGTTATAATCCATGATAGTAACATTGCTGTTACACCAGCTCCCCTGCATAAACACAACCATTTGAAAATATGAACGAATATGCTAATACTCAATAACAAACAGTCTCTCTGTTTCCACAAGGTAGTGATAAGGTCTACTAGTTATATTAAATGCAGATTTATTACTAGTATAAGAAATTGTTGGATTGAAAATGTAACAAACAGAAATTTACTCATTAGGTCAATACTAAGAAAAGAAAAAAAACAAGTGGTAACAGACGGTCTCTCTAACTCCACAAAGTAGTGATAAATTATCTGAAAATATGAACGAATGTGATAATAGCACAGTCTCTCTATCTCCACAAGGTAGTGGTAAGGTCTGCTGGTTATATCAAATGCAAATTTATAATATATGTATAAGAATAAACACAAATTTACTCATTAGAAAGAAAAAAAAGCTCAAAATATATGTTTTGATTTAATTCATATAATTGTTAATTTTTCCTACATTTGCATTGTAAAAGCGTGCATACGAGATTTTCTTTAATTACAAAATAAAAAAATTAATTATTAAAGATTGTAGAATATTAGTGGTTTAAAAATCATGATTAATATTTTTAGATACTATCATATCTGGAAAAATATTAAATGGGTAAAGGAATATTTGTTTACAAAAAAAAAAGGGCAATAATTAAGGATATATATTAACTTTTCCGATTTTTTCGTACCCTCAACTGCAAATGGACTGCATTTTAAAAATCTTTCAAAAGTTACAAAACCTAATTTTAAAAAAAAACTATGGTATAAGATAATACCAATTAGATAAAATACGAATCATGACTATTTTACAATATCATATCTAAAATATTTATATTCGACTCAAATCACAATAAAAAAAACAATAAAGAAATAATTACCATCCCATCTGAGACATAGCGTAAGGGAGACTAAGAACACCAGCACCAACCATAGCGGTAACATTATGCATAGTTGAGTACCACCACTTCGCATTCCGGTTCGATGTTATTGGTAGCCATTCATCGATTGCTTTTTGCTCCTTTGTCCTTGTATCGATTGCATTATTAACTCCATTTTCACCAACACGAGCCATGAAGAAATATCTAAAAATCTAAATCTAAAACAAAATATAAATAGACTAATTAATGTAAATAAGAATGAAAATTTTGTGAGAGAATAAAGAGTAAGAAAAATTAGAGAAGAAGAAAGAGTTTAACATGAATTTCTAGTCTTCTTCCTTAGTTTTTTTTTTTTTTCACAAGAGAAGCAAAAATGAGAATATATTTTTATAGGCCAAAGTCTCCTATTTATATAGGTAAGGTAAGGTAATTAACCCACCCCTAAATCCTAGTTTTTAGTAGATAATTTAATTCTTGTTAGATACGGATTCCATAACTACTAATTTTTACTTATATCAATAATTAATTAATACTTACCATTTATTCTATTTATTATATATATAATAAAAAAGAAAGTGGGTAGCTAACTTAATTGACCTAGTAAAAATTATATAACTAATTTGATATTACACTTTTATTTGTTTTGTATTAACGTAACTACCGGACTTGACTCATTGCATTTCTCAAGCATCCGTACAAATATTAATTTTTTAAAGATATTTTTTGATATAATATTTTAGTCATCATTTATTTAAATTCTTTACTTATTCTGTTTAAATATAAATATACTATATATATGCAGAATGACTAGCGATAACATCCGACCGGAATGCGAAAAGCAAATAAACTTGGTTAATTAAGAAATAACTATGAATTAATTTTAGTTAGAGAAGAAAGAGGACTTATTTTATTTTATTATATTTTATCGTAATTATAATTATATTCAAAAAGATATTTTATTAATCACTTAATTAAGTGATCATGTTTATCTTAAAAATAACTAGTGTAGAAAATCTTATACACTGACTGTGCATAAAACTTGAACTCAAAAGAAAAAGTTTAGATCTAAATATGACATCTTAATATTAATATGTGTGTTTAGATTAAAACATTTTAATCTTAATGAAAACAAATGAGCTATGAATTATCTGATTACGAAATTATGGATAAGATTTTACTACATGTTGGACTAGTACAAAAGATCGATTAAGCGTCGTTTTGCATAAGATAACTACTCTAAAGAAAGTTATAAATATGTATGTTTTCTAACAAAAGTAGGGTTCTTAATAATTTTATATATTTATAATAACCTAGTATACGTTTTCGCGCAATAAGCAAAAAGTATATATTGAAATATATTTAAAATTATTGTCTTATTTACTTGATTATTACGTTTTTTTTAATTATTTTTTTGTCAATTGAAAATTTTAATTCATTTGATCCATGAATATTTATTAGAAGGCTATATCAAGGAAGAAAAATATTTTCATCATAAGTTACCTTACGATTCTATGTTATCCACCATAAGATTCAAAGTTTGTTGATAAATTGATAAAATTATTTTATTAGGATAAGAGAAAAAATTGTTCCAGATTTGTTGAATAGAAAATTATTAGTGACTAAATATTAGCTAATGACATATTGTAGATTAATTTTTAGCAAAAATTATCTAAATATTCAACTTATTTATCATACTTAAAAATTACAAAAATTCCCAATCTTTTATATTTTCAAATACATCACTTTACGTGATGTATCGTATCGATCGGATACATCATAGCAATGTATCGGTCGAATACATCACTTTACGCAATGTATCGATAGAATACTCAATTTACGTGATGTATCAGAACGTTGAGTGATGTATCCAAAACAGAGACACGTTGGATCAAGACGTTAAAGAATATATCTATAACCGGGACATAATGTAATGAGATTTTGTGTAAAATTCCCTAATTTTTACCATTCAAAATTTCCTTAACAACTACATTCAATTATACACAAAATTTCTTTAACAACTACATTCAATTATACATAATGTTGGAATTCCTTCAATCACCATAAAAAATTACTTGAGAACTGTATAAAATAAAAAAAATTAAAAAATATATATATATATATATATATATATATAAAATATCATACATTCCTTCTGTAGACATTGAAATTTTGTGGGACTCTAGATGTGTTCAATTCAAATTGGGACTCTACAAATTGTGTTCAACTCAAATTAGGATTCTTGGAGGCTACTCAACCCCTAGTTCACGCCTATATAAAGGGTACAAAATTCCCTTTAAATGCATCTCAAAATATCCCATAAACTCTTGGGTATTTTTAAAGATCAAGATCTCGAATATTCTGCAAATTAATGGAATATTATCAAACCTAAATCATCCTAGTTTGAGAAATACGCTACTAACGACCCTTGAATCATGGATACATCTTAGGAGAGTAGAATCAAGGGAGGAACATAATTGTACCCGCAATCTATCTTTATCAATACAGTTATGTTTCTTCATATTTTATTTGTGATTGTAATTTATTTTCTGTCGCTTTAAAATTTGTTGCAAACACCTTCAATAATTTTTGTGTGTTTCCCTGTTTTTTTTGTTACATTTTTCAATGGCTGTTACTATTATATAGCGAAAGTGATTTTATATTTTTCTTTTATCGTATATTAATGCAATAAATAATTAAATTTTCCTTCTTTTTAGTTATTTATATTGAATTATGAGTTTAAATTTTAGTTATTAAATTACCTCATATAAAAGATTTAATTTAATTCTTAAAAAAATTATCTTGTTGCGTGAAATTCTTTTATTTTGACTTAATTTATTATAGGATATTAGTTATTTGGTATCATCCTCAACATAATTTTTTCATTATTGTTTATAAAAAATCTCATCATAAGTTCAAACAAATACTATCATTCGATATATTTTCTTCTTTTGTTCCACAATTATTTTTATTGTGTTATCAAATGCTTACATTGTTATATAATTTTTTAAAAATTAGTATTCATATAAATCACGATTTGTTTGGTCAATATTTTTGAATATATCAAAACACCTCAATTTTTTTCAAAAAATATTTTCATACATAAATTAATTTTTAAATATCAAGAATTATTTTTTTGAATAAATTAATCTTATATTTTTAGGCAAAATATGCAAATTTGAGCTTTAAAATAAAAAGAATACTTGACCGGATGCATTAAAACACTTTTAAAAATAAAAATAAAAATCAAACACATTTATTTTATTTTAAGAATATTTTATTAAGCACAGAAAAATAAAATTACTTTCTATCATTGTAATCCCGAAAGAAGATGATGGAAGAAAAGCATTTAATGTATCATTTTACGTATTTATTTAGTACAGTTTAATTTACATATTCCAAAAGAATATATTTTTTTCTTGAAATGTTAAGCTATATAATTTTAAATAAAGGAAAAAATATATACATGCAAACATAGTAACCATATAATTTAAAACAACAACGAAACAAATAAAAATAAATCAAATAATACACGACACAAATAATCTTTTAAAGTTGCATAGTAAATAATATCAAATAAAAGAATTTTTTATATTTAAAATCATTTCTTGCACGGATAATTTGATAAAATAATTATGTGCTTATTAAAATTTAGAAATCAATTAATTTATATAATATCCATTTTCTTGCAATAAAAAAGAAGTAGTTAAATATAATAATTTAATTAAAAGTTAAGTTTTTAATTTAAATATTTAGGATTAAACGATTAATAAGTTCCCACAATAAAAAAGTGGCCTAGCTAAATTTGCATTGCAAACAAAAAGTGTGTAATTATTTTTGCGTTTAAAAATTAATGCAATCAATTTTATATTTTTGCTATAAAGAAAAAGTAGTTGTAGGAAGTTAGTTCAAATATTTAGTATAGTAAATTTGAGAGAACTTTTCACAAAAAATAAAATAAAATCTTAAATGTACTTATTAAAATTTAATGAATAAAAAAGTGCTTATTAAAATTTAATCTAAATTTTGATATTTATGTAAATAATATACATTTCTTTTTGCTATAAAGTAGGAGTAGTAGTGGAAAGTTGTTTAGATATGAGAATGACTGAATGAGTAATCTAGGATTAAGTAACAATTTAACTTTATAATGTCCATTTTACCTTTAATGAAATTATGTATAACTACACAAATATTTATCACTTGTTTTAAAACTTTTCCTTTCTTTCTTAAATTTTGTGTCAAATCAAAGGAACTTGTATTCTCTTATTTAATACTCCCTCTATCCCTAATTATTTGTTCACTTTTCCTTTCATAGTTGTCCCTAATTACTTGTCCATTTTGACAAATCAAGAAATGACAAATCTTTTTTTCCTATTATACCCTCAATTAATTATTTTGAAAAAGATAGAACTTTTTTAAAAGCTTAAATTTTTAAGGAAAAATTACCTAACTACACACAATTTATTATCATATTTTCTTATTTTTCCTACCATTTCAAAAAATATCATAAATCCTTTTTTTTTCTCCCATCATTCCTTTTTTCGGATACATTAATTTGAAATCTTCTACCCATGATTTTACTTCCTTTTTTCACTCCACAAATCTCTCAACGGTTACTTTCATTAATCTATTTTTGAATTTCAAATCTTTTCTCTTTTCAATTAATGATTTCAAGTTATTCAAGAGGCAGATTTATTTCAATCACTTCACTTTTTTTTTTTTTTTTTTAATATCATTTTAAAAAATTACTAAATCTTTTACTCCCGGTCTCTTAATGGAAGAGAGGTGCGAAAACCTTGCTAATGCACAAAGTTCATCTTGGAGTGCATTTGAAATGGTTTCAGAAATTTCTAATGGCGGTCTTGATACACTTCATTCTGTTGGTTCGATCTTTCAGTTTTTGGGATAACTTTCAATGTATCTCGCTTATTTTGATTCTTAAATTAGTCTTTTTTTTTAGTGTTATCACTGATCTGATACATCACTGTTACAATAACGTTTGTTTTATTCAATGTATCATGTTCATATTTAAGGTATTGATACATAACTCTGATGTTGTTGAATCTTCGATTAGTGTTTATCATGTTCAATATAAATGTACTTGATATATAAATTTTGTGTTATGTATCACACGCAAAAAATATGCAATTTGGAACAATTACATGTCTAATATTTTTTTTAAAATATAATATTTCTCAAACAAAA